AATTTTTGTTATTAAAGTCATGATCTTTAACTTGTTTCAAAATATTCATCATTTTCTTCATTTTATTTTTCTCTACCTCATCTTAATTCACATTTGTTTTAACCATTGCTTTTTAAATAGACTACAAACAACTTGAGAGATTTTCCTCATTTGAAAGATATTTTAAACAATCTGAAACATTTGCTTTTCTTAACATTTTAATTGTTGCCTTATATATTGATTAGTCCACATCTTTTGATGAGGCTAACAAATCGTACAAATCTTCCTTCTATTTCATTCCTTTATTTTTTTTAAATAATATTTAATTTCTATTACTTTTATATTAAGTTTTAAATTACGAATCAAAAAGAACTTATGTATTAAAGTTAAGACAAATATTGAGAAAATTAGGATTTCATTAGAATTGATGTGAAATCAACAAATTTAACATCAGATAAATTTTAGAATAGTTTGAATTTTTAAGAATATAGTATATATAAATCCCTTAATTGACAAAATATACAGAAAAAATAATTGATACAATTCATTTAAGGCTTGCTTTTTTGATTATCTATTTTTTGTTCCTTTTCTCAATTTACAATTATTTATAGGGAAAAAAACATTTTGTGTATGTATGACGAATAAGCTTTAAGAAGCAAACAGATGAATAGAGATAGAGTGGTAAATCGAACTTTATAAATTCCTTTAACATTCCATCTTTTGATATTATTAAATGAATTTCGATTACTTTGATATTAAATTAGTAAAAAAAAATCACTTAGAATATTGAAATTATATAATGCTTTTCATTGCTTAAGAGATGTTAAGAATGGATAATAAAAAGCCAAATTGGATGGTCATACAAGACTATCTAGTCAGTATGCTTCTCACTAGATGGAACTACTTTAGCATCTGGTAGTGATGTTTAGTCAATCCGTTTATAGGATGTTAAAACAGGATTATAAATTTAACCTTCAGATTCAAAATACAACAATCAACTCACAAATTTTTAAATCCCCTAGAATTAAAATAATCCATTTGCAGAAAGTATCAATTTTAAGTTTATTTATTGTTAGGTACCTCATTTTTAAATATACTCCTAATTTCCCAATCCTCAATATTTTAAGCAAAAGAAGCTAAGGAGAATTTGTAAATTATTAAGGTATATGATTTGAAATAATTATTGAAATCTAAAGGTAGTTATTTTTTGGAAGGTTTTTAACAGATTATGCTGACTCTAACAATTTCACCTATATGGGATATACTTTAAAATTTATTGTTGTATCAATAAGTTAAGTGGTTTTATCTCCTCATGTATCCTTATTATGATTGATTTTCCTTTTATGTCCCCTTTGGAGTGTGTGTGATTAAAATTAAAATAAACTTTGACAATTATACTTCTGTGTTTAAGAATAAATCAAAAGACACTTACTATTGAGCATAAATAAATAATAGCAATTCAAAAAATCTCCCTTGAGTTAATTCTAATTATTATCATAATTCCTTTTTAACTTCAAATTACTGTCACTAACTCACCTTTAGATAAAGAAATTTATAAGAAATGATGTTAAAAAGGGAAGAATAAGTATAAATAAGAGAAGAAAAGAAAAGATGGCATATATGAAGATAAAGAAAAAAGATAGCAAGATAATGATAAAGGAGTTTTAAAAAAAATAAAAAATAAGAAAATATTGCTAAATAATAATTAAAATATTAAAAGAATTAGATGATAAAAAATAAATAGTTGTAGCAAGTTTATTTAGAAATGAATAAGAAAGAAAGATATAAAAGAGAATAAGAAAAAATAGAAATGGGATTATAATTTGAAAGAGAAAAAAAATTAAAGATAAATAAAGAGAATTAGAGTATAATAAAATAAGAAGAAATTTAAAAACTTAAAAGATAGATGTTTTTTATTAAATAATAATAAGAATCAAAAATAAGAAGTTGCTTATAGAAAAACTTAATCAACTAAAGAAAGATAATGGTATATAAGTTTATGGTGATCTAAGTGCTAAATATGTCGATGGTTGCTGAATAACAGATTAAATAACAGATTTCTAGACAACAGTTTAAACAAATGGTTATTGAACTTATTGTGTTGGTTAAAAAGTGTTTGCTACATTATTACTTATTATTGATAAATGATTTAAAATTATTTTTAGTTTTAATCTTACTGTTTAAGTAACAAGAGCATATTCTGTTTATTATTCATAAACTGATCATGGTACATATTCTGTTAAATATTCAACTGAATAATAGTCTGCAAAATATGTTTTTTTAAGCACTTATATTTATACAGTCTCATTTTTCAACTCTACACCTGATTTTTGATTATCTTTATATTCTACTCTGGATTCTCCAATTAATAGGTTTATTGAACAGATTAAGCCACTATTGATTGAAAAGACAACGTTAAGTAATGTAGAATTACTACGGTTGTACAATAGATCATATATTGAAGCTTATTGAATTGAATCATAAGAAATTGGTTTAGGATAATTGATAAAACTCTCCTTACAAAACCCTATATGATATGATAATTCTAAAGATAAAGATGTCAAAGTAGTTATTTGATATAATAATGAGTCTTTGAAATAATTAGTAATATGTAAAAAAATAATGTATTATCACTTTATTTTTTTATAAATGGAAAATAGTGAGATTGATAAAATAATAAATAACCCTAATCCTTAATTTGTTATTGAATAATAAAAAAGGGAAATAAGGAAAAGAGACAAGGAAGGTAGATAATTACTAAGAAAAAATGTGCTTAGAAAACTGAGTTTAACATAATCATTGATAAAAATCATTAAGAAACTAAAACATACTCACTGCTGAATTTGAAAAGTTTACTTAGTTGAAGAATCTTACCAGTAGGGATGTTGAAGAAATATATGGCTATTTTAACAAGTTATGTAAAATAAGCATTATATATTTAAAAAGAGCTTAATTGTAGAGAAATAAAGATATTATCAATAGATTATTATTAAGGAGAAGAAAATGATATAACATTTTTGTGATTATTCAGCTCAAATGATAATTATAAATTAGGGTTAGTTGCAATAATTAATCAAGATAGATTTATTTAATAGTAATAAAACTCTACTATTTATGCATATCAATATTATTTTCTTAGAAATTATAATAATTTTTTTTCCTATATTTACATTTATTCAATCCTTAAATAAACATGGCAATTAGGGATTTACTTTTTGAGAACATCTCATTACAATATTCATTTCTTTGTAGCTTATGCTAAAATGGATTCTATTTATTATTCTATTATAAAAATAAAGCCCATTAATTTTATGATTTTTTTCAATTACATCGATATAAATATTCTGGAATAGATTCATTTGAAATTTAATACAATATGATATAAAAAACTTGTTATAAAAATGATCCGCTCCCTAGAATAATCACAATTTTAATATATATCCACTGAATCTAAAAACAAGTTGATGCGATGTAAATATTAGCTTGACAAAATTTGTTTTAGGATTTTACAATGAACTTTCATTAGATTTATATCCTTTGTTTTTTATCATCATATGCGTAAAATTTAGCAATTAATAGTTTCGTTTTGTAACTAATATGTAAAAAATATCATATATTTTATAATATATAAATGGCAACAATTAATAAATTCATTTTGAGCCATATCATTAGGTATTATATTTTTTAATCTGTAGGTAAAAATCAATCTATCTATTAAATTTATTTTGCTTTCTTTTAATTACTAATTAGGAGTCGTTTTGAATATTTAGAAGTAATCGGATTTGTAGAACTAAATCTATACCAAAAATATTAGGGCACATTCACGAATCTATTGGTGGAATGTTCGAAACATCTAAATTTTCTATTTCTTTTATGATCTTTGGTAATTATATGTTTCTTGTAATAAATGATAATTTTTCAAAGTCATAGTTAATTTAACATGGGAAGTCATTTTGTACCTAATGAGAATAAGGTACAGAATTTGGATATGTTAAAGGTTCAATCAATAACTCACCATCAACACATCAAGCTATTTAGTTTTTCTTTTTTATAAATTTTTTTTTCAACAATCCATGTCGTGGATTTATGAGATGTTTAAGATAGATTAATAAAAGAAAAAAATAACGTCTGATGTTATTAAAATAGTTTAACATAATAATAATCTTTCAACAAAAGATTTGGCAAAAAAGATGTATTCAGAGATTGATTACAGTTTTTAAAGTTATTTGAATTAGAGATATAGTCTTATTTTAATGGCAGCTACTAAGCCAAGAATTTTAATTGATAGAGTTTACCTATTTATTTAGATTGCAGATAACGATGGTAATCGACCATTATTTCATAAAGTAGTATATATCTTAAAGAGCAACATTCTTTAGAGTTCTAACACAGCTAGTACTTGATCACATTTTTTATTCCAAAAGTAACCTACAAAAATGATGTTATTAATGCTCTAGAACAATGCAATTGAGAGAAAAAGTAGATTATAAATAATCCTTACAGAATTGGAGGTTATTTTATTTGCAGTCTTTGTCGTTGTAACACCTACTGAAACTTTAAATATTATAATTATTTATTTTATAATTAGATATAATTTATCCATGATAAATTGTTAACAAAAATTTTTTCATGAAGAATTGGATATATTGTGAATGAAATTGGACTATAAAGTTTTATAAATTTATTCCAACTAATTAAAAATAAGATAACCATTAAGGAATTAGATTTGTTGTACTTGAGGATGCTAATAAATTCATTTAAGTAACGTCTATTTTATATTATATAGAAAACCTTTACATTTAAACATAACTCAGTTGATCTACTATTTTTAGAAATTAAAGCATTAGTAATGTATAATACTCCTGTTAATATTATAAGACATAAATGTAAAGCCTTGAAGCTCATTAATTTTATCGTGTATTAGATTTTTGTAACAATGAATTAGAGGATTTTTAAAAAGTTATATCATAAATATAATTTTTAAGAATTTTTGCTTAAGAGATTTTATAGTATATTAGAATAATATTTATATTTAATGATTTCAAATTTAATACTTATTAACTAACAAGATATGGAAGAGTTGTTTAAATTTTGCTATTACATTTACACTTTAAGATTATATTGGAAGAGTTCTTAATTTTTTTGCCCCCAAAACACTGATGATTCTTAAACCTTTACATAATTAAATGAATAACTTATATATGATTAAAGAACCTAACTCTATATAAGACAAATAAATTATACTAACGCATACATAATAATAAAAATATTGTAATTAAATACATATAAAATAGTTATAACATTATTAAATAATAGAATAGAAAGAAATTTATGCTCTATTTGTTAGATATTTTATTCTCTCTTATACAATTTTGATTAATAATAATAAGGAATTAAAAGAATATTATTAAGTCAAAATAAATAAATTCATTTTTTTGTGAGAGTATTTAAATTACCTCATCTATAAACAGTATGGAAATACTTTTCATATTGTAATTTATTACTGAATTTGAATTTACTGAATATTAGTAGTAATTGATTATGAATAACTTAAAACGGTCTGATATATGCGATATGATTGAAAAAAAAATAAATATATTTTTTAAATGTGTCAATAAAATTTCAAATATTATTTTATTTATATAAAAGTATTTAAAAAATCTTAAAATAAAAGATAGCTTAAATCCTATCTGTTTTAATTTTATGTTGAAAAATATTGATTTATATTTAATACAAATAAAATTAAAAATCGTATAAATAAAAAGTAAAAATAGTTAAAAAAAGAGTAGGAAAATTCAAAGGGTTTATTAATTTAAGTTGATGTCAATCATGATAACATGAAATAATTATAAGAAAGAGCCTAAAGGTACCTGATAACTATACTGATGAAACTGAATCAATAAAAAAGTTATTGGTGTAAAGGGAAATTACACTCTTATAGATAAAAATTTTTATTTAGATTCGAGAATTCTTTTAGTTTATACGTGAATCATTGTTCTAAGAATTTTGGAAAGATTATCGAGCTCTTTGCATAATTATATAGCTTAAATTAAAGAGAATCGAAATTTTGAGAATATTACTGAATTAAGATGAAACTTATTTCAGTTATATAAATGATTCAATATTACATAGAGAAAATAGTCTGGATTAACTTTAAAATTAGAAATAAGATTTTAACATATTACAAAATTATAATATCATATTTTTGCTAAATTATTAAGATTATAGACTGTGCAACTATCACTTCAATATTGTATAAGCAACGATACGGTGTGTAAATGAAATTGGGATAAAGTGATTTAATCATAAAATGAATATGTTGAAGTTGATCATGAATATACCTCTAATTACATCAATTGTTTTTTATTTGATCATGCTGTCGATATAATGTTGGATATAATTATGCTCAATATGATATTTGATTCTTTGAGAGAAAAAACTTCAAGAAAAAATTAAAGATTAAACTATAAAATGCTTTATATTGGGTGTCATTTAAAAGATATATATTTATTAAATCCCAAGAGAATAATTCAAAAAAAAAATAAAGGAGGGGCATGGATGGGTTTACAAAGTACATTACATGTCAAATTACATATATTATTATGCTAATTTGAAACACTAAGTTGAAAATGATTATGATGGCAATGAATCCGAGATTTAATTTTAAATAGATATAAATTGGACGCCAATTAAAATATAAATAAAATATTAAGTATTTCTAGAGCATGATTCACTTGAAAATGGATGATTAATAGAAGAAAGGCAGTGAAATCCAAGAAGTAATTGAAATAAAAATTATAAATGATTCTTTAGAGAAGATTTAAAATAGAATGAAAGATATTATTAATGTGTGACAGAATAATTTCATTTATTTATTAATATATTTATAAATCGATAGATTATGTTATATTACTAACTTCTCTTAATTATTATTTCTTTATTTTATAGTTTTAGTGAAAATTCCTAATTTATGAAGATCAATTTTTGTAAACTATTTTTTATTTTTATATTATTAATAATAACAGAAATAAAAAATTGATACAAAATAAAAATTCAAAAAAAAACAAAATGTTGATTCATAATCAAATATAATAAAAAGGTTTCAAACTTAAAAAACAAATATTGATAATGAATATTTTAAATAAAAAGCTCCATTGTAATATCATAGATATTCAGCTCATAGTTAATTAATTATATAAATTAAATTTTAAGTACGGTATTAAAATTGTTAATTGATTTTCTTAAAGAGTATCATCTCAGAAACAGAATAATTTATTTGCATTCAATTAATGAAATAGTTTATTTGATATTTAAAAAGCAAATTTTTTGTTTTATATCTTTATGGGACTGCTTAATTTTGCTAATTAATCAAATTTGATATTTCCAGCTATTGTTAATTAAATTATTATTATGCACGTTACCGCTTAGTATATGGGAATCAAAGGGTTTTAATTGAATCTAGTTTTTCTAGTACAAAAAGGCAATTTGATCAATTTTCAACCTAAGTGGAGTAAAATATGCAAGTCATTGTTTTTTCCAATAAGTAATTATTGTTTTTGTATTCCCAAGCTGGAAAAGACTTCAAGTAAAATTAATAAACAATATTGGAATTGCTCTAGGCTAAATTGAAAAATATTTAGGAACAACAAAGCTATATAATTAAATAATTAATATTTATTTTTATCTATTTACTTAACAAGAAGAAATAATTGATTAATTTACACTATCTATAATAATGAAGTCTTATTTATTTTCATCTCTTCTGAGAAAATCTTTTACAAGGGTAACTTTGCAATAGTTCATAGATCTTTTAATATGAATCAAATAATCATATTTGGTTACATTTGTTTATATAATTAAAATGGTATAAAGTTAATTTATTGTAACTTTTGCAAAATGGAATTATTATTATTAGTGTTATTTGTAATCAGAATTATAATATTTGCAATTGCTGTCTCTTATGTGAGTAATAATAATGGAGATTAATTTACAAGTCCAAAAATCTTCTTAAGAAGATTTAATTATAAAACTATTAAGTATGTGAAGTCATTTTTTTGAATCTCAATTATTTTAATAATAATTATTATTGAAAATGGTGAAATAATTAGATTTCTGTACTAGAAACTTAAATTTATTTAGTAGTCACTAATAACTATAAAACTTTAATTGATTGGATTCAAATTAGGTCATAATTTAAGTTATTTTGGTATGCTTATTGATTTAAATAAAATCTATCATTAATAACTGAGATCGTTGAAAGGTATTTGATATTAAAGAGAGCCCAGATTTGTCAAACTAAAAAAGATAAGTATATCCTATTTAACTATTTCAAATGGAATCATAAAATTTGACTTTGATAGAGAATTTTTATTAATTACAATATAAGTGATCACTCAAAATTACAGTGATTACGTAGGCTGCTGTATTTATGTTGGAATTATATTTAAATTCCTTTATTAGATAGATTATTTATTCTTCAATATTACACAAATATTTATAATTCTAATTTTGGCATAAAATTTTAAAGCTATTTCCATTCAATATTTTATCAGTAAAAGAAGGGAGGAGGAATTTTATAAGGAATGATAAAGAAATATCTTAATAATAATGGTGATGTCTGTGATAGAATTAGATATATCAAATAATTATTATGTATTNGTTAATTAAATTATTATTATGCACGTTACCGCTTAGTATATTGGAATCAAAGGGTTTTAATTGAATCTAGTTTTTCTAGTACAAAAAGGCAATTTGATCAATTTTCAACCTAAGTGGAGTAAAATATGCAAGTCATTGTTTTTTCCAATAAGTAATTATTGTTTTTGTATTCCCAAGCTGGAAAAGACTTCAAGTAAAATTAATAAACAATATTGGAATTGCTCTAGGCTAAATTGAAAAATATTTAGGAACAACAAAGCTATATAATTAAATAATTAATATTTATTTTTATCTATTTACTTAACAAGAAGAAATAATTGATTAATTTACACTATCTATAATAATGAAGTCTTATTTATTTTCATCTCTTCTGAGAAAATCTTTTACAAGGGTAACTTTGCAATAGTTCATAGATCTTTTAATATGAATCAAATAATCATATTTGGTTACATTTGTTTATATAATTAAAATGGTATAAAGTTAATTTATTGTAACTTTTGCAAAATGGAATTATTATTATTAGTGTTATTTGTAATCAGAATTATAATATTTGCAATTGCTGTCTCTTATGTGAGTAATAATAATGGAGATTAATTTACAAGTCCAAAAATCTTCTTAAGAAGATTTAATTATAAAACTATTAAGTATGTGAAGTCATTTTTTTGAATCTCAATTATTTTAATAATAATTATTATTGAAAATGGTGAAATAATTAGATTTCTGTACTAGAAACTTAAATTTATTTAGTAGTCACTAATAACTATAAAACTTTAATTGATTGGATTCAAATTAGGTCATAATTTAAGTTATTTTGGTATGCTTATTGATTTAAATAAAATCTATCATTAATAACTGAGATCGTTGAAAGGTATTTGATATTAAAGAGAGCCCAGATTTGTCAAACTAAAAAAGATAAGTATATCCTATTTAACTATTTCAAATGGAATCATAAAATTTGACTTTGATAGAGAATTTTTATTAATTACAATATAAGTGATCACTCAAAATTACAGTGATTACGTAGGCTGCTGTATTTATGTTGGAATTATATTTAAATTCCTTTATTAGATAGATTATTTATTCTTCAATATTACACAAATATTTATAATTCTAATTTTGGCATAAAATTTTAAAGCTATTTCCATTCAATATTTTATCAGTAAAAGAAGGGAGGAGGAATTTTATAAGGAATGATAAAGAAATATCTTAATAATAATGGTGATGTCTGTGATAGAATTAGATATATCAAATAATTATTATGTATTAAACTATATTAATTTATTTTTGGAATTTAAGTTAAGAAAAAGGTTCAAAATTTAAAGAAGAATTGAAAAAAAAGATTTTCTGCACTCAATAAGCTTGGAAAATTGGTTAACATTTGGTATTGAATTAAATTTATACGCAATCTTATTAAATATAAATTATTAAAGGATTAAAGGTAAACATGATGAATAACTATTATAAATGAATAATAATTTATCATAACCTTCACAACTTAAATTATAAATCCCCTTAAAAGGATCTACTTTACTTTAAATTATTTAACTACTTACGCTTTAGCTACATTCTTCTGATAACGAAATAACAAAAAAGTATAATTGCAAATATAAAAAGTATTTTTTTGAAAATATGATTATTATCATTCAAGTTATTATCATTAAATATGGTTATAAAGAATACACTATTAAGTTAAGTATATAATACAATAAGCTTTAGATACCTAATTTTATACAACTATTTTAAATGCTTAGTTATTTATTATTTCATCTTTAAAGTCAAATTAATAACCAATTTCTCCTAGTGGTATTTATCCATTGTTTGTTGAAAAAAAAACAAAGTGAGTAATATAATAGAATTAAAAAGATCTTGAGTATGGTTAATAATGAAAAGTAGATAAAGAAACAGATTATAAACTACAGTAAATTTTATTATATATATATCTTTATTTCAATTATATATATTAAAAGGAAAATAAGAATATTTATTTTAATTATATTTTCCGATATAATCGTAAATTTTTGAATCTCAATACAAATCATAAAAGTAAGTTACATTTTAGAATGATTTTTTAATAAGAACATGCTTATTCTAAAATTCTAATGTTACAAACTCTTGATCTATTCCATTTCTGAGAAACTTTTACGGTATAAATTAAATTGAAAAACTTTCTAAATTTATTACAATATGACTCAAAATTGAATATTGTCTATAAGTCTGAAGAAAATAATCTTTAAATTTCCCTCAATTATAATACTGTCGAGAATCTAACAGTTCATTGAGAGAAATAATTTTGCATTATTATCTACATTTATCAAGTCTATTAATTCAATCAAAATCAAATCCAAAAAAAGGGTTGCATTTCCATAAGAAATATAATGATCATCAATAAAAGAAAGAATTTAGAAAAAATACTATAAGTTAGAATTCAATTTAGAGAGCGTAATGTATTAATCATTGTTTCCTTAATTTTATGGATTTCTAAAATTTCCAAATTATTTTGAACTTTTTTAATGTCTTTGTTACAAATTATGTAAATTATTTAATAGGATTCAAAAAAAAATTTGATTAAATTACCTGTTTTAAAAATTCTATACTCATATTTATATATGTAATTACAAAATTTTATGAATCTTTCTCAATTACATAAATTTTTCCATTTAATTGATTCATTGATTAGCCTAAAAATAATACTGGTATTTATTCTTCTTTAATAGAAATTGCATCTAAAATTTATTGATTTTATTGATAAAATAAATATCTGTCTTCGCCTCTAGCGTAAAAAAAAATTCTACTCTTAAGTTTAATTATCATAAGTTATATATGAAAGTTTAATAATCTTTATTTATATTCCATCTATGTTATTTTAACTATTAATAATTTCAGACAATAATATAGGACCCTTAATTTGGGTTACATTATCATTTAAAATCTTTAAAGAATTTATTGGTCCATGAAAAAAGTTAGATATTGCTATTTTTTGGAGTTAATAGGATGAGTAATTCAATAAAAATTGTCCTTTTGTTAAAATAAATCAAAACACTAATCATAGATTTTTATTGTGAATTTAATATTTACAATAGGATCTGTTTAATTTGCTGAAATAATATTAAAAGAAACTTCGGAATTTTCAATGTCAGCTATTTCTTATTGAATAACATTTTCCAATTAAATTTCAAAATCTGATAAATTAAAAATAGTAATTTCGTCCTTCGAATTATAGTAAAAAAATTTATCAGAATTGATCAATTTTATAGTTCCTGCGAGTTTATCTTAAATAAGAATACAAAATTTTTTTTTTCTTTTGTATAAGTTATTGCTAGATATTAAGAAATTTCATTAATTTAATAATTTAAAGGCCTAATAATTTAGTAATCATCCATTTATAAGATATATAAAATTGATAATTATTCATAATCAAAACGATAATTAATTATTCAATTAAAATTTAGATGTATTCCTGTAATTAAAAACTGTTGCCTTCTAAATTCCTATATAAAAACAATTTAAATATTTTCTAATCTAAATGAAATAATTTATGAATTTACTTTAACAAGTAAAAATTAAGAGTACTAAAGAAATATTTAGATTTATCGCTAGTAGTAAAAAGTTTGAATTATTTATAATTTTTCTTATAGCTAAATTTCATTTACAGTTTTCAAGATTTTACTATTTTTTAATTAAGAATAATGGAGTCTTGAAAGCGTAAGTCAAAAAGTTATAAATCTTTAGATTTAAATATCAATACCGAATTTTAAAATTCAACAATATTTTTAATTTAACCATTCACTTTAATTTCTTAATTGTTACATCTTTAAAGTTAATGAGTCTAATCCCATTTTTATTCTAACACCATAAAAGTATTTAACTTTAAAAAGAAAATGAATAACATTCTCTGGTATTAATTTAAAATTTAGGCAAATTATAACAACTTTATAATAAACTACGAAATTTTTTTTAAGACTGAAAATCTTTGATAATTAGTTTTATAATAAAGTAAAAGAATATCTTATTAATTGATGTTTTTTGATTTGGGCAAAGTAAAAAAAAAAGATTATTTACTTGATATTTTAATTCCAAATTTATAATCTTTTTCAATTTCTATCTGATATCAATATGGTAATGACAAACCCTTCTTGTTATATAATAATGACTCAGTATTTTAACATTTATAATTAAAGTTTAAAACTAAAATAGATTGAGACTATTTTTTCGTAATATATTAAATCTTATAACATTTATTTTCAACTTAATGCAGGTATTAATAACTGAAAACATAAAAATATATTTTGAAGTAGGTTAAATTAAATTTCGGGGATATGAGAATTTATAAAATATTATCTCGATCAATATTTAATCATGAAAATATATCAAACCATATAAATCATTAAAAAAAACATCAGTAGAATTTAATTTAATAATCTATTGGAATTAAAAATTATATATGATTTGAAGTTAAACGTGATTTTATACCATAAGAATACCATGAAGCAATTTTATATTTGAAAGTCTACCTTCAAATTAATATTCATATTTTTGTTCTTTTCTCTAAATTGTGGTTTTATTGGTAGAAGAATCATATAATACAAAAGAAATGAAGTTGCAACTTTAGGATAATGTTATTTTTATTAAATTCTGAGGACTTAAAAAAAATTTGAGATTGAAATTGATTAAATACAAATAAATGAAATCCGGTCTAAATTATCAGGTAAATCATTTCAAAACAAATTTAAATATTTTCTAGATATTTAATTTAAACAGCAAAGTCATTTAAAGCTAATTTTTCATTCAAAATAATCTTCATCTCTTAATTGTTGTATATATACAAACCCCATTCTTCAAATTGAAAGAAGAAAATTTATTAATTATTATTGACTAATTAAAAAACTGTTCTCATACACAACTTGATCGCTTTCAATTAATAAGATATTTAATCTTTCCGAGATTATCTTCTCTTCTATTGCAATTTTTTGAGTCAATCTTAATAATGTAATGGAAAAGAGTTGCGGTAAAAATCCATAAAAATTATTTCATAATATTAATTAAATAATTTATGTATTTTAATTATAATATATTTTTAATATTATTGCCTCTAAAAGAAATTATATGTTGATGAATTAAACTCAGAAATTGTATTTTCATGCCTCTCTTTTAATTACATAAATTATTTAAGTAGCTAAATTAAACTTTGATTATCTTTTAGAGCAGAAAACTAGTATTTTTCTTCCTTCTCTCTTAAGAGTATTTTTAAATATGCTTCAAAGTTTAAAAGGCTTTCATGATTCCACCATGAACGCTATATCATGTGATAAAAATTTACAAATTTAACAGAAGCCAGCAGACAAAACCAAAAAAATTTTTAGTTTTTATGGACCCTGAAGTTAAAAGCTATCAGATAATCCTCATTTTTATTCATAACTTTCATTTAATATTCCAAGTTGTAGTTAATTCTCTCTTCTATTTTTCTCGCTTAACAAATCTTTTTTGTGCTTCCTTATATTTCAATTATTTGATATATTGCTTTCGTCTTTATTATAACTACATCGTTATTTGAAATTTTATAAATTATTCATCATTACTTATTTTTATATTATATAGCTTCCTATTTGAATTTTTAAATCTCTTATCTGCGCTCCATATTGCCATAATTTTAGGAAGAAAATAACACTAAAAATGTACTTTCTACAACTAATAATAATAGTGATCCATACTTTTAAGAAATATTAAATATACCATTTGTTTTACCTTTGGTAAAATTGAATGAATATATTGAGTTAAATGAAATGATAAAATGACTTTATTCTTAAATAGAAAATATTGCTAATTTTACCTTTAATTAGGATAGAATTAAAAAAAGAATTTAAATTAATATATAAAAATATATTTAAATAAAATCAAAATTCTTATAGGTAATATTGTGTTTTTCATAAAATTTTATTTGCTTCTTAAATTTTATAGAATGAATTAATCATGCTAAAGTACACAATCAAGTTTGTAAAAATATTCACTTATCTTTTTAAATTTGATTTTATTTTGGATATCTATTTATCTCCCTGAAAATTACATAAAAAGTATTGATAATCTAAATAAGCTATATGGCATATGACCTACACGTTCTAATTAAATATGTTCATTGTGTTCGTTAAGATAAAGTACCACGAAAATTATTGCTTATAATATAACAGATATATTAATTATTTTTAGAATTAAGTTAATGTTGGTTATCTATTCATAAAATATTTTTCTTATTATAAAATTGCTACTAAATTGTAATTAACTTATATTTCTAATATAGATCAATCAACATTTTTCATTTTATAATTAATCCAAAATCATAAACTAAATTGATCGATCTGTTTTTATTTTTTTAAGTCTTATTCTATTTTACACATTTTGGCAAGGGTGAATTTCCTGCTCTTAAATAGATATTTAAAAATGAATTCATAAATCAATTTTGGATATCAAAATATCAGACTTCCTAAATCTAGCCACATAATGTTTTAAATTTTCAAATATAGGTTTGATATCTAAATGAATATTCAAATATTAGTTGCACAAATTTAGTAAAAATTAAAAGACATATGAATCTCGTATATGTCAGATATTTATTTCACATTCATTTTTTAATTTTTAAAATGACTATTAAATCAACATTATATATATGAAAAACATTCAATTGTTATTAATGTTGTAAAATAGGTATTAAATATTTATTATAGAAATGCCTAAATTTCTTATCTTATTTTGCATATCTACTTCTTGAGTAGAAAATTAGATTGTGCAAGCTAAAGATATATTATATTCATCTATTTTAACTGAGAAGAAGTTTAAATATCTATTTATATTCTCTGGGGGATTAAAATAACAGAGCCTAAATATAAAAGAAGAGTTTATACCTCGAGTTGATAATTTGTTGGAAATTATGAGAAGAAAAATGCTGTCTTCTTTGAAATGAATTTGCCTATTCGTAAATATAAGATAGTTATTAACAATTTGTATTGAGAGTTTAATTGAAAATTATTCCTAAATTACTATCCATCTTCTAATATAATCTAGAGTATTCATTTTTGCTTTTAATATATTCTGATAGATTTTTTATAATAATAATTTAATTTTAATAATAAGTTTAAAGAAAAAAAAAATTGAGAAAATTAAATAAAAGTAAAATGAAAATAATAGAATTTGAGAAGTTGAGGGACGTTATACTGAATTACTGGGAGGAAAGTTTTAATTTTCTTTTATCTAGTCTAATTGTGCTTTTGCTTTCTGAATAAATTGCATTAGTTTTTGGATAAATTTTACCAAGTTTTTTTTGAATTCACTTTATTACTTATTGTAGATGTATTGTAGATAGATTAATTAACAAAGAATGTAAATTAAAAGAATATGCATATCAAGTTCTTAATTTCTTTAAGTATTAGTAAAATAATTTTAAGAAGCTAAATAATTCTTCAAAAAAAAAATTTGATGATTATACTTTCACTTTATTGATATTTTTATGTAATTTTATTAGGTTTTAAAGCGGAGAATCAAACTAAATATTATAATATTAAAATAGCTATTAGTTATTAACTTAATAAAAATAAAATATTTATTATAAAATTATCTTGTTTTAAAAATATGAGGATTATGACAAAAGCATTAAAAATTTTCATACAAATCATGCAATTCCATTTAATGGTTTGAATGCCTTATCAAAACACAAAATTTATCCTCTCAATTATAATTACAGTTTAAGGATGATATAAAATCTTAAAAAACTTAACTTTAAATATAGAATAAAAAGTAAAATCTATCTGAAATTTTGGATTCTTGTCTAATAATAATTGAGTGTGAACTTATGCATAAATATATTAAATTATTAATATAGTTAGAAATTAAGGGATTTTGATAGATCAATATTATTTGCAGTGAAAATATATCTATTAATAAATCCCCAATGCGTTAAAATACTCTAGCTGATTTGATAAGTTTTCAAATAAAATTCAAAGCACCATAAGATAGAAAAATAGAATCATGGTATCATAAGTGAAATAACAAGTTCATAAAATACTTTGGTGTGATATGAATAGTTATATTAATATTTGGAATTTAGAAAATCTTATTAAATTATATGGGTTGGAGTTTATAAATCAAACTAAAAAAATTGATTATCTTAATAATGTTTTAAATAGAGTTATTTTATTTGCTTTTAGCAAATTTCACAACGTTCTACTTTCTTTTGTGAGAAAAAAATATGAACCTTGATAGACCTCTAATCAGCAAAAAGAACAATAAAATAGTTTTAGAATTAAAATATATATATATTTGCTATTTATAATCACTTTTTTCTAATTCGGTATAATATTAATATAATGATTTAATAGAAATTCAATAGATTGATAGTTTTTTTATTGTTACTTTAATCAGCATTATGTGAACAAACTTCAAAGATATGTGTCTGTGGTCATATCCAAAATCAAGATATATGTTAAAAGTCTAGTATTTGCATTTGGAATAATGAAAAATGTATTTTAAAATTAGGATCCATGTATTTAAAATCTTAATAGGATTCCAACTAATGCCAAAATTATGGGCATGAAGAATGTAGAAAACTTTAACATTGTGGATTCCATTTAGGTAAATGTGTCGATTTTTAAGGTTGTTCTATATATCATAAAAACAATTGTTAAAGTGCTTCATTCTAATGCGTATCTGATGGTCAAATATGCATTGAAATAAGAGATTGTAACAACTATAAAAGTTAAATTGAATGTAATAATAAGAGTAAGAAAGGAAATTTTTGTGTTTGGAAAAAAATGGAAGAATTGAAATGTTAGGAAGTTTAAAAATGTGAAGATCTGCCAATTTATTTATCAGATCATAAAGGATGCAATGAAGCTTTGGAAGGATGTACAGTGAATAACATAGGTTAGGGTTGTATTAATCAGATGGAGTCATGCACTGATTACATGTAGGAAAATTAATGTTATACAACTCTAAATACTAAATAGATATGTTTTTGGTAATATGGAAGAGGAAAGTGTTTGGAAAAGAAATGTGATAACTTTGGTTATAAGACTGATTATGAATGCAAATCATAATTAAATGAATGTACAACTAATGGAATTCATTGTGTCATTAGGACAACTTGCAAAAATGCAAAAAGTGAAGCTGGATGTATAACTGATAATTTAGGAAATAAATGCTAATATTATTAAGGAGAATGCTAAAATAAAACATGTTATACTGCTTTAAAAATTATTAACAATTACCGTTAATGTCAAGATTATGATAGAACTTTGGATTGTGTTACATCTGAAAATGGAGGTTGTAAGAATAGACCTTCTATTTGTTCTGGATATGTTGGAGAAGAAGATTGTTGCTCTATTAAAGATCAAGGATGCATTTGGATTAATCAATAGTGTGAATTAAAGTAATGTTATCATGCTCCACCATAATATACACATTCTGAGTGTAAATTATTTGGAAGTTGTATGGGAAAACTAGAAGGTGGCTGTATTGCTATACCGTAAAAGTGTGAAGAAATATATCAACAGGGTGGATGTGATGAAAATTTATTAGGATAAAAATGTATTTGGTTAAACCACTAATGTATTTTATTGAGTTGTAATTAATTAAAGTTACCAAATTATTCTAGTAATTAAGCCTGTCAACTTGAAAGTCCAAATTGCATAATCAATATTTAGTAATTTGGATGTGTAGATTATATTTGTGATAATGTTTCTGAAGAAAAGGATTGCACAGTTGATTCAAAAGGAAATCATTGTTTATTATCACCTAGATGTGTCTAAAAGCAATGTGATACTGCTCCATTTACCTTTAACTCTAAATAATAATGTGAGGATTGGATGCCTGAATGCACAATAAATATTTTCTCTTAATCTACAATATAAGTTGTAGCAGGATGTATTAAAAAATTTTAATAATGTCAATTGTATTAAAAGGAGCAATGTTTTTCAACTATATAAGATTATATTTGTAGATGGGATATCAGTTCAAATAAATGTGAGGATGAAGTGTGTTCTGGTGCTGATCCATCAGATTATAAAACAAATGAAGATTGTTTTAATTTTAAAATAGCTTCTTAAAAATGTGTAATTGGAGATAGTGGATTAGGATGCAGAAAATGGCCCACTAGTTGTAGTGATATGAAAATAGAATTATAATGTAATCTAAATCTAGAAAATGGAGAGGAATGCTTTTGGTCAGGAACAATATGTAAAATAAAAGAATGTTCAGATGCTTCAATAAATTTATACAAAAATAATATTGAATGTCAAAAGTGGATGAATAATTGCATCTATAATCCTTAATAAAGAAAGTGTGAAAAACGATTAGAGTATAAGAAATGTAACTCATCAAACTCCAGCATGTTTAATAATCACTAAGAATGTTTTGCTTGGAATCAGAATTGCACTGTAGTAGATAATTTCAATTCTGAGGGATGCGAAAAGAAAAAAGACAACTGTTCTTTATATCTTGTTGAGTAAGTTTGTAAATCAACCATCTTCGGAGGATCCTGTTATTGGGATAACCATAATTAGCAATGCAAAGATATTGACTCATCATTTTCTTGTTAGATAGAAGGAATAAGTGATTTAACACATGAAAATTGTGAATCCTTTAACTCTAAATGCACAATAGCTAATATCACAAAAGACTGCGTTGAATTATAAAAAGAATGCTATTTATATAAAAGTAAACTTGAATGCAATATTAATTATAATTAATAACCTTGTTTTTGGAATGATAGCGACAAGAAATGCAAAAATTTAGAATGTGTTGATAATTAGACTGCAACTACTGAAAGTGAGTGTTTAAATTGGAGAAGAAACTAATAATGCATATTAACTCTAAATTAAGATGGGAGTGCTGGAAAAGGTTGTTAAAATACTCCTTATTCATGCTCTGAAATTACTAATCCTTTCAAATGCAATTTTACATTAACTAGATAAAGAAAGAGATGTCTTTACATTAATAAAATATGTCAGGAAGTATTATGTAATACTTGTGAAAATATTACTTAAAGCAAAAGTAATGAAGAGTGTCAATCTTATAATATTAACTGTATTTTAAAATAAAGTTAATAAGGTTGTTACTGCCCCTTAAATTGCACAAATTTAAGTCTTTCCTCATGTAGTAGCGTTAAAATGTCATTTAATTAAGTATGTTACTTCAATAGAACATGCAATTAAAAAATTTATTATTGGTAACCCAGGCGTTATTGTGATCAAAAAAACTCATCAAATTAATTAACAGATTAGATTTGTTATGATTGGAAATATGATTGCGTTTTAGAAAATAAACGGTGTGTTAAATTTGATTCACAAGAAATTAAATTGAATTATCAATGTGCTTAATATTAAGATTACCAATGGTCATCAGGAAAATGTAAAAATATTGGTGATATCAATTGCCATGAAAATACAACAGCTGTTACAAATTTGGAATGCTAACTAATTTCTTCAATTTGTGGTTTGAATTATATTAAAGGAAAAGGGTGTGCCTTTATTAAATGCAAAAGTGACTAGATTCTTAAACAAAGTTAATGCAATTCTCGTCACACTATAGATGGTTTAGGTTGTATATTTAACAATGGGAATTGCGTTTCAAAATTATGTAGTCAATATTATGACTAAAGTAGTTGTTAAATTAGATATGGATATTATAAAGATGATATTTTATTGAAATGTTATTGGTGCAATGAAATTTGTTCGAATAATAATACTTGTGATACACTTATATAGGGATCTCCTTAGGAACATTCAGATTGCAATAAACTAAATTTCCTTAAAACTATCTCAGTTGGTAACATAATGTGCACCTTAAAGAAAGCATCTTGCTCTGATTATTTATATGAGACTGGTTGTTAGGTTACAACTGATGGCATTAAATGTTTTTGGTAAAATTCTATATGTAAAAATTATTGTGATGCTTAAGATGTTTCTCCACTTAGTAATATAATTTGTTTCTAGTTTCATAACCAATGTATGTATTAAAATAATCAATGTGTACTTTTAAATTGTACTTAATTAGACTAACATAATTGTTCTGATTTGTCTTAGAAATGTTTTTGGGATGGAAACAACTGTTTAGAAATAAAAAGCTGCTAAGAATTTAAAAATTAATCTTTATGCAAAGTGAATTATTTTCAAGCTCCATGTTTTTGGGATGATATAAATAGTAAGTGCATAGAAAAAGAATGTTCAAACATCAAAGTAATTCCCACATCAGATATGGAATGTGACAATTGGTTAAAAAATTGTAAATTTGATAGTAATAGTTTAACTTGTGTTGAACAATGTGAATCAGCTGATAATTCTTACAAATCTCATCAATAATGTGAATCCTATTATCCTAGCAAAAGATGTACTCTAAAAGTAGGTCTAATTTAATGTGTTGATTTACCATAATCTTGCTCTTTAGCTAAAGAGCCACAATGCTTCCAAGATTCAAAAGGAAATGAATGTTACTATTCTACATCTAAAAACAAATGCGTTGATTTAACTTGTTTAGTTCTAGAAATGCAGACACATTTTGATTGTAATCAGAGATTTAAGAATTGTACAGTTAATAAAACTCTTAATGGATGCTAGATACTTGATGATTGTTATAACTATGAAGTTAAAGATTAATGCTATATAAACAATTCATTCTAAGAATGTTAGTGGATTTCTCACAAAAATTCGTGTACTTTGAAATAATGTTCAACTGCTTAATTGAATGATTATTCAGTTTAGTCTTGTTAATAATATTTTGGTAAACAGTGTACAGTAAATTAATTCTTTAATGGATGTATTCAAGCATCAAATAATTGTAATGAATATTCACATAATTAATGTATTAGTGGCTTAATGATAAACATAAAAGAAATATCTTGCTTTTGGGATGAATCCAAAATATAATGTGTTGAATATATCTGTGAAAATGGACCTCTTGCTACTTAAACCCATAATCAATGCGTCGAGTTTATGAGCAGTTGCTAAAAAGGTGGTTGTAAATAAAAAAGTTGTTTTGATTATTAATACTCAGAAGATTAAGATTGTGCGTAACTTTTTGATGATAAAAGATGTGCTTCGAATGGTAAATCTTGCATTTTTAGATAGTAATGTGAAGAAGTTTCAAGCAAAGATTTATGCACTTTTGATTTAAATTTAAAGCCTTGTGATTGGTTAGATGGAACTTGTGTTTAAAAGAAAAGTTGTAACAATATAGTTTCAAAAGAATTGTGTAATGTTGATGTTGATGATTAAAATTGTGTTTGGGATGATGTTTTAAATTAGTGCTTTTCAGAATAATGTATAGGATTTTGTGGAGATGGAATTATTTAAATTAATGGTGAGCAATGTGATGATGGTAACTATTTACCTTATGATGGATGCTATCTATGCCAATTTCATTGTTCATATGGTTGTCTTGAATGTGATTAAGGATAGGGTTGTAAAAAGTGTGATAATTAATTTATTTTAATTAATGAGACCGATACATGTTAGGAGAATTAAGTCTTAAATGATGAGATAGAAGATATAAATGAATAAGTCATTATTGAGATTGCGAGTCTTAGATGCATCGAAAATTAAATATTAATAGGCTTTCAATGTGTATCTTAATGTGGCAATGGAATTCTTAACTCAAAGTATGAATAATGTGATGATGGAAATTAAATTGGAGGAGATGGATGTTCATCTGTTTGCAGTGAAGAAGATTTATATTAGTGTCAAAATTATGAAAATTCAACTAGCGTTTGTTCTTACATTTTACCTCCTGACTTTATTTTAGTTAGTTTCTCTAGTAAAACTAACCAAACTTAGTTGATTTCTTTAAGTTTCACATAAGATGTAAAATTAATGTCTGATTTAAATTTTGAAGAAATTGCTGTTATCTCTATTATTCCAGAAACTCATGCACCTATCAATGTAAAACCAATAGTAAATCTATCAACAACGCTTAATAATCCATTATATGAGATTACAGTTGAATTTATAGAGCCTGTAAAAAATTCTGTGCTTTAGATAGAATTGGCTTAATCGATTATTAAAAATTAATTCGAATTAGATTTGGTTAGAAAGTAGATCTAAATTAGTCTTGGTAACCCTTTTGTAATATCTGAAACTACCAAGTAAAAGGTGACATAAATTATGCTTCTTAATGATATTATGATTTATTCTATGATTGGTATATCTGGATTATCACTGCTAACAGGAAATGCTATAATGTTTTTTAATTTATTAGATCTATTATAATCATTGTCCTATATTAAATATATGTAGTATTCTTTTCCACCTCATTTAATGTAATTTTTGAATACTTATACGAAAGTATCGCTATAACCAATATTAGAGCGTTTTTAAATAGAAGAATTGTTTAGATCTCTAAATGGGGGAAGTTTACCATTCAAAAGTACCAGTTAATCAACTTAAATTTAAGCAAATCCATTAAATTAATTTTATCTGTTAAATGCTCAAGGTTGTTACTTTTCTATATTATGCTCATTAGCAGCTTATTTTATTTCCATATTGTTATCCTCAAAAAAAGTTTTATTATTTTAAAGAATTCTATATGATAAATTCAAAAGTAATTATACATACCTTCGTTTTAATACATTTTACTATACAACAATCTAGAAGTTTTGTATGAAATTTAGAAATGAATACTTCTCTTTTGGTATATTTAAGGTTTATTTGGCCATTCTTCATTAATTATTTTTTAGTGTATTATTGTAATTTCCTGATTACAGCTTCAATTCTCCACTTATGATATTAAATAGTGTGAATGCAATTATTGGATTAATTTTAATATCATATTTTAGTTTATAATTACTTTCTATAACATAATCCAAAATAAAAGACAAAAAAAAATGGAAATACTTTTATCAAGATTCATTACCTCATTTTTGGGCTGTTAATTATAAGTCATTTTAAATATACAAAATTATGATTTATATATTTCTAATTGTTGAAGCTATAAACTATCCAGAAATTTAATCAATATTACTTTCAATGTCATCGGTTTTCTATTTAGGTTACTTATTTAAATTTAAACCTTTATAATCCTAGTATGAATATATAAAATTAATATTAAGAGAAATTTTATTTGCTCTTATAACAGGGTCATTTTTAATTTATAGTTTTGATATTGAACAAAATTATTTGATTTTAATAGGATGGATTCATATCTGCTGTTTTTCTTTGATGTTGATCTCAAACTTAAGTGTAGATTTAATTGAATGTATAAAAAATGCATGGATGAATTATAAAAGGAAAAAAGAATTATTAGAATTGAAAGAATAAAAAAAATTTTATGTTAATAAACTTTAAAAATTTATAAAAATCGATTTAATTACTTAAAATTGAAAGTATCAGTACCATAAACAATTTAATGATTTATTAATTATTTTTATAAGTAAAGGTTTCTTGAGATTATTAAAATAGATTATAATAATTATTATTATCTTTAACTCTCATTTATTTAATACAAATTTATCAAAGCATCTGAAAAATAAAATGTTTGCAATTTAAGAATTCAGGCTGATTTGATTATAAAATAATATATAATCGTTTAAATTGAATAAGTAAAATAATTGAATTAATCAAATAAGAATTATAAATTAAAATATTAATAATATTAAATTTGCATTCAAAAATTTATGTTTTACAACTAAATTAGCAGGATAGCCTTTTAGCTTAAAACAAGACAGCATTAACTATATGTCATTAACAACTTTTTATTTTCATAATTATTAATAAAATATTATTAATGAATGAGTAGTTTTGTAATTTATTAAGTCTAAATTCACAATAAATTCAATTTGGGGTCTTAAAAATTTCACAAATCTTCTAATTTCGATTTATTAATTAATATATTTCATATAAAAATTGAGTATAACATTCAATTAAATTAATTAGTCAAGTAAATAAATAAAAATAAAGCTAATAATTTATTTTGAATTCATTACGATGTGTCTTACCAAAAAAGGATTATCAATAGCATAATTTTTAAATTGTCTTTTATTATCAGGAAAAATTTTAATATTTTTTTAGATATTGTTCGCTGGATAATTAATATTTAAAGTTTAATAATCTAAATTGACTGTCTCAAAATTTTGGTTAAATAACTTAAAAAAGCATTAAGATAATTCATTGAGTTGTTTTCAGTGAATTAATATTCCATTGAAATGACATTAAGGACTTATATAATATAATTTAATGTGTGAATTATAAATTATTAAGGACTAGGCTTAATCTCCCTTAGTTAAGAGAGGCCAACCAATTTTAGAAACCTGTAAATTTTTTCCAAAGTCGAGTAAAATAATTATAGAATAGCATACTTTACAATTACATTTCAGCATAATACATCAAAATGAAATAATAATCATAACAGTGAAATAGGCTTTTCAAAAGTGCAAATATGTTCAAACAAAGCTCAGCTTAACTAAACCAATTGGATACTAGAAATAAGGATTGGAAAGGACAGACAGTTTTGCAATTTTGCAAAGTATTCTTTGCTCTAATTACTTAAGAAATAAGTGCTTAAGATAATAAATGAACAATCGAAATTAAAAAGCTTTTAAAAAACTCCTAAAATTAATATTCAATTCCTTCCTTATTCAGCTATTGTACAGCTGAAAAACTAACTAAACCATTTGCATATTTCATGCTATTTTAAAAAGAAGCATATATAGTAAATCTTCAAACAAGATTAATAAGATAAGTTTAGTTAAAATAAATTTAGTCTTTAAAAAAAATTAAGTTAATTTGATGTCTTATAAATTTTGGAGTATGTAAAATGATATAAATGTAATATAGATTCAATTTTAATGGAATATACTTTGAATGATGATTTGTTAGAGAAAATACTTTAAAAAAGGATACAAAGAAAGAGATTTTTTTTCATTATGTAGATTGATCCCACCATCAAATATTAGAATATAAGGTTCATTAAGCATTTAAGCAAAAAAACAAACGATATATCCTATTTTCTATGAAACATATTATTTTCAATTTTCAGTAATTGATTATAAATTTGTTAATCAATTAATATTTGTGTTGAATATGGTTTGAGGGAAACTGTTTATAGAAAAGCAGAAGGCAATTCTTGGTCAAATTATTTAAGAATGATGTAATATGGGTATTATTTTCGTAAACCTACTATGGAATATGCAGAATAATTTAATGAAAAAGCAATTGATACAAATAGAGTAAACTAGTAAAATACAATTTAGAGACAGATACAAAAAATTAAATAGAAAAGTCCTAATAAATCTTTTTTATCAAAAATCAATTGGGTAGACAAATCTAAATTTATAACTTAAATTTATAGAATAATTTAATTTTTTATGTCTTAACTATTTAAGTCGGATCTTCTTATGGATGTTATCTATATTTTAGTACTTTAAAATTGTAAATGATATTGAATTATTGTATAATCACGCCATTTACATAAGGAATTTCTTTTATATACTTTTTATACCTTAATACAAAACGATTGCTTAAATCTAATAAATCTATTTAATAATTATCATCCTAATTAATTAATGAATTCTATATTATTGAATTTTAAGAAAGATAATAAATACTAATGTTTTATGCTTTTAGACTTTCTCTAAAAATTTTGCTGTTACTTACAAACACAAAATTTTTATTAATAAGTCATTTGAACATTATTCTTGTAGCTACAAATAAAATCATTCAACCAAGTATTAAACAAAATTAGGAAACAATCTCAAGGCAAAAATTAAAAATCTTTTTTCCCTTTATTCTCTTCTCTTAATTGTATTCTCAAATACTCCCAAAAGTTCCAATTAAAAAAACAACTTTTTAATCATTTTTTGGAAAATAACCTCAAAAAGAAATTTTGAAATAATAATTATTTCTTTGTTTGATTTATAAAACAAAATAATATTTATCAGATGAAAAGATTAAAATAATTTCAATAAAAAATAGCTAAATCGGCATAAATTTCACCAATTATCAAAGATGGGAAGCAAATTTTTCATTCCCTACTTTATTGTAAATATTCAAATTTTGAAAAAAAAACCAATCGAAATAAATTAAATTTTTGCATTCAAACTAGTTTCCTATAAAGCTGCCTAAAAATACTTATAGTGCTGCAAGAATATTTAGAATATTTAAAATGTACTTTTCTTAAAAATACAATCACAGCATTTCTTATATTAAATAATTTAAAATGATAAATAAATATTATAATATATATAAATATAATATACTTCATCATCAAACTGGTAAATTATCCAATATTTTTATTTTAGAATTATTATACCCACCCACACATGGATATAATTCTTAAGATGTATCTATATCCAATTACTAATAATCTATTTTATATTTACAACAAACGTTGCTTATGGATTATTCCATCTACTCCATTTAATGTATTTACGTTCAAGACATACTTCAATTATTATTATATCATTAGTTGTAAATCCGAAGGATAATTATTTATTATTTACATCTTTATTATGATGAGAATAAGAATAATTACCCGAAGATGTTAAATATGTTCTATTATAATTTAATTATATGCCCTTACCCAGCATTATAACAATTTAAATAATTATTTTTCTAAATAATCTCTTTAAATCCTATTCCAACATGAAAATATGTTCCACTTATCATTTAAAATCCAAATTATATTTTGCCAGTCTTTGGAATTGCTTATTCACAAAGACAATAAATATAAAAATTATTACCACATTCTACAAGTTTTGCTCCTTCAGTTACTGAACAATTATTATGCTTGTAAGTATTCGAAAATGATAATGATTTATTATATTAATCAATCTAATCGATTAAAATATACTTTTACTAATTCTAGTTTATTTTATTTTTCTTATTCTAACTTAACTTTCTCAATTTAATCAAGTTTGGTTAATGCTTGCTATAATTATGATTTTTATTAAGTTAAATTTTCATTAAATACCTATTTTACTTATTTTTCTATGAAATAATGACAAAAACTATTACATTCATCTTCAAATTTCTTTATAATTTCGGTCTTATCTTATTCAAATTACTTTTTAAGATTTATATTATCTTAAAGTGCTTATTAATATTATTCTTTCATATCTTATAATTCTTTTTCATCATATTCTAACTTTGCATTTAACTCATTGATTTTAAACTAAAATGATGTCTCCATAGAATGGATTACGTTATTTTCTATTTAAAATTATATAGAATTACTTTCAATTTCTAAATTTTTATTGGTTTCTGTTAATTTTAATATTTCTAATTCTATTTATTAAATGTTACAAAACTTTTTCAACTCTGAACTATTATTATTGAATATCTTTTTATATTCATTCAAAATATTCGATAATTTAGAATATTAGGATTTTAATTATTCTGATTTAATTTCTTAATCTTTGGATTTAATCTATATATTTTCTTAAATCTAGTCTATTTTTTAAACATGCTGTTAATAAACAGAAATAGCCTAATCAAATAGATGCAGTTGACACTGATATTTTTTAGCTTGATCGATTAACTCTTAGATTTCTTTGATAAAATTAATTTGGTTTTTATAGTTTTCATCCTTCTATGCGCACTTCTATATTTCTTAAATCACATCAGTTAACTAACCAATTAAATTTTTTTCAACTATAAACTATTAAATAAATAAGTTACTTTATATATCCTTAAGAATATCTAATGATTATTAAATATCTTATTAATCCTATTGTTACAAAGATTCTAATTAAGATGTAATATCCTTTTTAAAAATAGAGTCTTTATTTTTTAAAGTCGTTATTATTTAACTTTATTAGACTATCCCTTTTTCCTTTTCAATCAATTGCTTTAAATCCTTCAATAATTATTCATCACTTAATGCTTATATTGACATTTTATTTATTTAATTTGATAAGTTAACTTTATCAATACATAAAAATGATTCTGTAATTAATTTATCACTAATTTCATTCAATTTTTAATTATAATTCTTTCTCATTTGTGCTATCTAGTTGAATAATTCAGCTTTCTTGTTAATACTTTCTTTTTTATATTCCTTTAGTATTTTATCAGTCTCAGTGTTATATTCTTTCCATTCCTTATCTACATCTTCAATAGTTTAATATTTAATTTATGAATTTTAAGAAATACATTCAACACATACAAACCTATCTTCAATCTTCTTATTCTATGAATCCATATCAATCATAATAATTTCCTTTTTATGATTAATACAAATTCTATTTAAACTTGGTGTTTTCTATTAATAATAAATCAAAAATACCGGATCATTTTTTTTGGTATCCACAAAAGGAAATAATTCAATTATATTATTTTACTAAATATCATTTATTGTCTCTTTTATATTCTTAAAAGTATCTAAGGTCTAAAAATATTCAGAACAATTGAATAATAGCTCAAATTGTCTTGAGATTTCATCAATAAAATTATTATCTTCTTATAATTTATTTGATTTTTAATCTTCTTATGAATATAATTGTGATAATTGTTTTAAATCTTCTAAATAATTTAATTATTATTCATATTCTATTAACTCCTATTTTTCTTTTTATATTGGAAATATATATTATTAAATTTATCTATACATTTTATCCAACGAATCATCTATAAATTTTTTGAAATCAATGATTTAATCCAATATGTTTTTATAATAGGTGAGTCTTGCTTGATTCTCCTTTGTTTTTGTTTCTTTTTATTAAATTTAAAATTTTTAGATTCTCTCTTTTGATTACTCTATAGTTGTCACTTTATTGTTATTTAACTTTTCAACTAAGCATTTACCGCAAAAGAATTAAATTTGTGCCTTGTCTGATAAATCCAAATCAACTGCTATAAATTCCAGATTATGAATTTTGCATGTCATTTCTTATCTCTCCTATACTTATTTTTGATTTAAGATATTCATATTTATTATTTAAATTGATTAAAGTAATTATTTATCATTAAATCTCCTTTAATATATCATATACATAATTACATTCTAATTCTACCATTTAATATTAAAAATTTTTTAGAATTAAAAGTAAAGAATATTTGATATATATTAAGACATAAGCAGATATAATGTTAACAAGGAATTAAATGAATAAGATATCAATAAATTATTAGAATATGCGTACAACAACAACAATACAAAAAGATCGCAACCATAAAATAATATGTGAATTGTTCTTCAATAATGGGTTTTAACGAAAACCTTTGTTAAGTTTAAAAAAGAATTATTTTAGCGCCCATTAGAGGTATTTTCCCTTTTTTGTAATGATTTGTGCTATATTTTATATAATTTGCAACTCGTATTAATAAATTGCTTCAATTTATGGAGTCTGCTATAGAATGATAAATAATAATTAGCTACAAGTTTTATTTAGGATTGTTGAAAATAAATATCATACATTATCAAAATTTAAATTATCTAAAAGAATCAAAAAATAGTCCCAGCATTTATTAATAAAAATTTAAAAAAAATGAACCCTTTAATTGTTCTTTTGATAATAAGTCCATTAAATGAAAATATTGAAATTTGAAACATGAAACCTAAAATGGTTGATATTTTGATTTTGGAATACAAAAATAAATTAAAAGAAAATACTTCTTTAATTCTTCTAATTGATTTAATTTAATAGAATCATTTTAAATAGTCAATATAATGTAAAAAAAAAAATGAAGATGATAACTTATCTGAAGAAATATAGCACGAAATTTATCTGAATCTTATCTTAAATGGAGAGGATAAAGAATATAATAGGCACCTGATTCTTCTAAAGCTA